TCATTTTATTATTTATGTACTTCATAACTGTTCTAAGCCATCCTTTGAGCTTGCTTCCGTTGTAGGTTTAGTTTTCTTCGCATATTGATGCTATTCACTTAACGGCATGCTTATTTTATATTTTATTATATTCATATTGATTTAGTTTATGTTATGGAGAAAAATCTTGTGTTCCTTCGTTGTTTAGTAGAAGGAAATTCTTGCCAAGTCCAATGTGTTTCATAACACACCGAGACTTCAAGATGGAGACATTTCATTCATTTGATGCTGAAATTTCATCTCTGCTCAAAATTTCAGTAAGCTCATATCCTATATTTCTTGCTAGTCAACTTAGCAATTACTACTAGGTTATGTTAGAATTTAGATCCACCGTAATTGTGGTTATAATTTTTGCCTCCTACTTCCTATTGATTATAGTCTTGATCGATACACCTACAGTTCTTTCTATGGTCTCCTCTCTCCAGTTTATAATTTCTTTGATCAACTTATAATAACCTTTTTTTTCCCATTCAAATTTTTCTATGAACCGTAAAATACAATATTCTCACGGTTTCGAATGTATGAAATTATCCTTATTAAAAAAGTTAATTGAGATCATTTAATTTTATCTGCCCCATTTACAAAATAACTTATTTTCTTAAACTATGTGTCATATTAAAATTGGTGATGAGCAATTCAAATGAGTTTTTCATATAAAAGTAATCCTTGAATTACTCATCTAGAGTTTAAAGGATCACTAAACTGAAAAGTACTAAAATAAGAATAGTCAATAAAATATTATCTATTTACTCTCTCCCACTCAAGCCTTGTGGAGAAGAGCATATTAATTCTCAGCCATCATTAGTAGGAATGGAACAACCTTCCTCACTGGCTGGAGAAAACAAGTCCATGCAGATTTCTACATAGAATCTACAAGCTAAATCAATGAACACAGGGCACTTAAGGTTTTTCCAACAGTATAGAAGTTCTTCCATATCCATCAAGTCCTTAATCTTCCCTTCTTCCACAATCATCTCCACCAAATATCTCTCAAAAATCCTGCATGGGTCTTCCACTTGGAGAGATGCTTCCCTTTTGTCTACCCCTCTAGTTTCAGGCACATTCAAGGGACTTCTGAGGTCTGGTAACCTATCTTTGTCCTTAGATTTCTTTGAGGAACGAAATGCTGATAATAACAATGAAGACATTATTTTAGTTGAGACTTGAGAATGGCTTTTGTGATTTGAACTTTGTGAGAACAGAATCAAAGAGCTTTTATAAGTGCTGCGCTGGTTCAACAACTATAGTTATTTTGCATGGCTTGAATAACTTGGATGTAAAGACACCTTGTGCTTTCACTTTCATTTCCAAAGCAAGGAGTGTGCCTAAAGAAAGTTCAGGATTTTAGTATTGGATGTCTTGGTTGCTTTTGAATAGTGTTGGAGAGGATAAATTATCGTATGGTTTATAAGCATGTTTAGATAATTTTTTTTAAAGTATCAGTTTATGTATAAATTACAAAAAATTTATTAAAAAAATTTATAATTTTTTTTACAAATTAACTTATGAGCAAGTTAATTTTAACTTAAGAAGTTTATTACATTTTTTCTTCATATTTTTTTTTGTGTTTATGAAGAAATTTATCTAAATAAATCCTATAATTATTATAATTGTGACAAATTTTCATGTGACATATATTAAGTTTTATTAGCTCTTTCTTATAAATTGAAAATTTCAATTATATATCATGTGAAAATTGGTCAAGATCATAAACATGTAGTGGTGTTAAAGTATGTAATAATTTTCTTGTTGGGGGATGATCCTTCATAGCTTCATTATTGGGGTACCTATTACTCTTCCATACTTCTTGCAACATCCATGTAAAAACAAAAGGAGGTGTTAGGCCATGGTAGTGTTTGTTGAAACTTGAAACCAAGGTTGTTGTAATCCGGACACTCACGAACATATATTGTGATGTTAGTTAGAGAAGGGGGAAAGGACAAGGAGTTAGTTGGGGTGATTGGATCATAGGATAGGATAATAGAAATGACACATACAACATAATGATCTATTGCATAGACTCAATTTGTATACGTTAAGGGAAGGAGGAGTGTCTTCATCAGCTATAATTTGGTCTTTGACCTGAAAAAAAACATCATGGATATATAGGTACGATGAGACCATAATGTGTTATCCAATTTTGCATGGACATGTATGTTGATAATTTAATAGACACTAAAGGAGAATATTTTCAGATATAAGTGAAACCTTTATGTTCAACTAGTACAAAGTTCGCTTTTCAATCGAGTTTGAAGGACATACCAATATTTTACTAGAAGAGATTACAATGAATCTAATGATCCTCTTTTCTTTTTTTTTTTGTTGGTTAAGAAAAACTCTGGTGACAGAATTTCAAAGATTTTCTTTTTTAAAATTCAAAGTTGGTGACAAATCAATCATAATAAAATGAAATGCCGTCGAAAAAGAAGTAATATATAGAAGTAATGGAAAAGATGATAGAAGATAATGAATTGAACAAGAAAGTAAAGTGATGTTTGAAGAAGTTGGAGAGAAAGAGATGTGAAAAGAGAGGTAAAATAAGAATTTTCACACACAAAAAATAATGAGTATGAAAACTAAAAAAAGAAAAGTGTCAATGTCTTGGGCCTAAATAGAGCAATTAGGTAATGGGCTATGTAGAGACTATCTATGGCAAGGGAATTTCTTCCTGGCTTTTTTAGTCATTTTTTTTTGTATACTTTCTAAATTATCCTTCATGTTCTCATGTGATTTTGGAACACCCGTTTCAAAGTTTTGACAACATTCTATTCCAAAAAAATACTTATCAAAAAACACCTAATTTGGGACATCCAATCCAGAACAATGCTTTTATGGAAAACTCATTTCAGATCAACATCGTCTGAATTGGTTATTCTGGATAAACAATGATCCGGATTGATTGTTCTTGAAAATTAATGATTCAGATTTGATGCATATTTAATAATTCGAAATTCTTAATTTAGAGACAAAAACTCATTTGAACAATTCGTTCTGGAGAGATAAAAATAAATTCGAAATATGTATTCTGGAGACTATAAGTGAATGGTGAAGGGAGTGAGAAAAATAAATGAACAATGAAGGAAGAGAGAATGGTAGTTTAGAAATTTTTAAAATATGATTGGTGTAGGGAGCAAATAGAAGGGTGGAGGGAGTAATTGCCCAATGGCAACCATATTTGTTAGAACAAATCCACTTTTTTTTAATTTTTTTTTTTATAGTGACCTAATTGGGTGCTGGTACAGAGTCCAATAGATATTAGAA